GGGGCAGTGCTGGAGGCCAGCTCACTGGAGGCCATTGCTTATTCACAAAGCTCCTGGCCCCTCCCACTCCCATCCCAGGTACTTGGACTTCTCTGGGCACAGGCTGGTGGGCCCATTTTCTTGCTTCCTTTACCCTCTCTCTAGCCTGGGCTGGGCTGGGCTGGGCTTTACCATGGCCTCCTCCCTAGCCTCCTGGCCTGACCTTCTGGCCCCTCCCTGTCCATCCATCTAGTTCCTGGGAAAGGCCACAGCCTCTGCAAAGGGGATTCAGAGGGAGCACGCAGAGCTTTGCAGTGTTCGTGGGCTCAGTTATTGTCCACACGGTGAGCACTGGAAATAAACAACGGGCATGATCATAGCGGCTGGCCCTCCGCGCCGCGCACAGCCATGGCTCTGAGCACTTCACATGGATCCACTCACTCAACTTTCACAGCTCTGGGAAGTACGTTAAGTGTTTCTCTTTTACAGATCAGGAAATGGGGGCACAGAAAAGTTAACTTGCCCAGGATCCCACAAGCACTGGGTGGTGGGCTTGGGTGTGAACGGAGGTGGCTGGCTGTATTAGCCTAGGGCTTTAGGTCCACGGATGGGGTTGGGGTCACAGGGCCTGGACTTCTTGAGATCATTACAGCATTTTCCAGGGCACGTGCATATTTTTTGCTGGAAAAATGTTATCTGATTCCCACAAGGGTCTGTGTCCCCCGATGTCTGAGATGCTGCTGATTGCATCATTTCCACACGCGCTGAAATCCTGTTAGCGCAGTGCCCAGGCCTGCGCGGGAAGTGAGGCTGGGTGGCCTCAGGCCTCAGTGGCAAGCAGGGCACCATTGGAGCAGCTCTCCCGCTCCACCCACAGGTCTGTCCTGGCCCCGGACCAAGGGGTGGGGCTCACTGGGATCGTAGGGCAGAGGGCTGCCCTTATCAGTGGGAGTAGGACACAGGTGCACCGTAGGTATAAACAGGACCAGTCACCTCAGCCCTCCTGACTCCACCCAGGAAACCTGTTCCTTTTTGCCTGCTGTCAGCTGGAACTTCTGAGTCCCTGGAAAGCCCACACACTACCTCAACTGCAAGCTGCGTGTGGTAGGTGCCCTTCCCTCTTCCTACCCCTGGTCAGCCCTTACTTGTCCTGCTGGTCAGTTTAGGTACCACTTCTTCCCGGAAGCCTTCCTCGGTCCTCCTCCCTCCCGGGACGGTGTGGCCTTCAGGTCTCTCACACGCCCTCCCTTCCCCACTGCCACATCATCCCCCTGCCTTGTAGGTGCCTGTTTTCTTGGTGGTCTCGGGTTCCCCATGGTGGTGGCACATAGTAGGGACTGAAGTATAGACTTTCAGCGGTGAAAGAGCCCCCAGAAATCATCTGGCTTAAACCCCTCTCTAATAGACAGGAAGCCCATAGAGGGGCAGGTTGTGCTCGGGGTCACAGCACTTGGTGACTGTCCTCCCCTTGCTTCTGAGCACACCTTTGTTGTTATTGTTGCGAGTATTACAGATGCCCCCCAATTTCCCCCCTTTGCCCTCCTCCACCGAGCTCCAGCCCCACCCCAGGCCTTCAGCACACTATTGTCTGTGTCCATGGGCTATGCATATATGCATAGAAGATCTTTGGTTAATCTCTTCCCAACCCCTCTCCTCCCTTCCCTCTGAGATCTGTCAGTCTATGAGCATATCTTTTGAAAACATTTATTTTCTTATTTTCACAAAAATACCAAATGATTATTATAGGAAATTTAGGAAGCGAATAAAAGGAAGAAAATAAAAACCCCTCCGAGATAATCACTGTTAACATTTTTTTGGATTTAGTACCAGTTTCTAGCCTATGCATAAAATTTTTTGCCCAAAGTATGACAATGCGTACTGTTTTATACAAGTTTGCCACTTTAACAATCTATATGGTAATTCTATTGCTGTGTCAGTAAATGTTTTTTGACGTCTTGTAAATGGCTGCCTGGATGCCATCACATGCTTGCGCTGTAATTGCCAAAGGCAGTCTCCTGTTGTTGGCATTTGCTTTTGTAAACGGCGTCTTTGCTGTTATAAATAGCACTGGGGGTGTATTTTTGCGGGGAAATCTTTATACACTTTGCCATTAAGGATAAGTTCCTAGTATGAGTTCCTAGAAGTTCTCTGGCATGGTGTGTCGTACCCATGTGGAACACCCTGTATTGCCTTGGAGCTGGGGAGGGACCTTGAAGATATTCACCCCCAAATCCATGTCTTAGGTTCACATTTCCTCCCCGGCTGCACCAGCCCAGGCCCTTGCACCTCTGTCCCTGTCCCAACACGCAGTGCCCTGGGGAGCTCTCCTGCTAGCCTTCAGCAGCTGCTTCCACTCATGTTGAAGGGAGACTAGAGGGCTGTGTGTGGGGGGATGCTATTTGGGGTGATGGAATTGGGGCCTTAGTATGGGCGGGTGGTCTCATCAACTCTCCAGAGAAACCCATATAGGCAGCATGCCTGTCAGGAGTTGGCTGAGGGGGAGACTGGAACCCAAGTTCTGGCTGCCTGGGGCCCTGCCCGCCTTCCCTCGACAAGTTCGGGATCCTGGTGTGTGTACCTGTGTGGCATGAGCCCTGAGGATGGAAGATGCCTGTTGCGTTGGGGCAAATAGTGGCAGCTGCCATTCCTGGGCTATTGCTGGTGCCAAGCTCCTGGGCTGATTAACTCAGTCCTCCCTGAGCCCTGGCCCTGTGGCCCAGAGGTTCTGATTTCACAGATGAGGTCACTGATGCTTGAGAGGGCCCTTCCAGCATAGCTCAGCCGCCCATGCCTCACAGCCCTGGCTTGGCTGCTCTGCCTGAGCCTCAGCCTTTTCATCTGTCGGATGGGGCTGCTGGGCTCATTCAGAGAAATGGGGGAGGGGAGAAGCATTGCAGGTCATTGAGAGAGAGACAGTGAGGACGTGGTGTTCGAGTGTGATTTAGAATTCCACCTCCAGCTCCCAGGCCTGGGTAGTGTCTACTGTCTCACTTCTTCCCACTCCTGGAGTTTTCTTGGTCTGGTCTCTGACTCCAACAACTATAACAAATAGCAGCTGCCCTTGAGGACACCAGACGCTGGGTGCTGCTGTCAGCCATGTTCAGACCTTGTTGGACTAATCCCCCAGCCTGTCTTGTGAGCTGGGTCCCACCGGCAGCCCCTTTTCACACGGGGAAACTGAGGCTCCGAGAGATTAAGGAGCTCTTGCAGATCGTTCAGCCAGGTTAGGCAGCAGTACTTGAACTTGGGCCTGGACACTCATAAATTAACCCCAAAGCCCACACTCTGACTCTTCACTTTCTGACTTCTCTCCACAGCCTTGGCCCCGGGGGCCCCACCAAGCCAGCAGCATGTGGCATCCCCGGGCCTGCCCAGTGTCTTCCTGCCCGCTGCCCGGCCCCCCCAGGAGGCCCTGACGCCCTGGGGTACTTCTGCTGTGCACAGGACCACGTGGGGGTTTGCCATGGTGACATAAAGGGGCGAGGAGGAAGGAAGGAGCTCAACCAGCCTGCGGACTGTGCCCCTGGCTGGGAGGAAGGGCCGGCGGCCCGGATCCTCCACTCCCACCGCCCGCTGAGGGCCTCGCTTGTTAACTGTCTGTGAACTTGTTGGCCCGTGGACAACTCCGGTGTCTCCTTCTGCGTGGGGCCTTAGGGTGGCCAGGGCAGGCCGGGCCTCTGGTGGCCAAGGTCTCGGGGACCAGGATGCCCACCCTGGCGCGCCTCCGCAGGCTGTGTCGGCACGTGTCCCCACAGGCCATCTTTTTCCTGCTCTTTGTCTTCTGCGTGGTCAGCGTTTGTGTCTCCGCCTACTACCTATATGGCTGGAAGCGGGGCCTGGAGCCCTCGGCAGACGCCCCCGAGCCTGACTGTGGGGACCCTCCGCCTGTTGCCCCCAGCCGCCTGCTGCCGCTCAAGCCCGTGCAGGCGGCCACCCCTTCCCGTACGGACCCACTGGTGCTGGTGTTTGTGGAGAGCCTCTACTCACAGCTGGGCCAGGAGGTGGTGGCCATCCTGGAGTCGAGCCGCTTTAAGTACCGCACAGAAATTGCACCGGGCAAGGGGGATATGCCCACACTCACTGACAAGGGCCGTGGCCGCTTTGCCCTCATCATCTACGAGAACATCCTCAAGTACGTGAACCTGGACGCCTGGAACCGGGAGCTGCTGGACAAGTACTGTGTGGCCTACGGCGTGGGCATCATCGGCTTCTTCAAGGTACGCAGGGAGCAGGGTCCCCAAGCAGTTAAGAGCTCCAGCTGAGTTCAAATCCCATCTCCACACTCGTTAGCTGAGTGCCTGACTTTTCTTATCTGTAAAATGGGTGCCATGGTAGCACCTATCTCCCAGGATTTTTGTGGAGGTTAAATGGATGAGTGTGTGTAAGGCACTTGGGGCACCCTGTGCCTGGTGCCTAGTAGGTGCTTTTTAAGGATTAGCTTTTATTAGGAGCACATGGCAGGGGAATTGCCTGCCATGCATGGGACTTGGCATATAGCAGGTACTTGCCTGAAGGAGGCCCCAGGGATGGGTAGGAGAGGATATGCTCTGCTAGGTCCCTCAAAACCTGTCGTGGCAGGCCTCCTGAGGGATGGGTATGTCGCCCCCATCTTGCAGATGTGCAAACCAAGGTTCAGGAGGGTTAGGTTATGTATATGTGTCTGTGTAGCCTCTAAGTGGGAGAGCCAGGATTTGAACCGAGACTGAGATAGTTTGGGCTCTGGATCGCAGGCTCTTTCCTCTGGGCTGTGGTGGGGTGTGGGGTTTATGCACCTCCTGAATTGGAGCCATTTTGCATTGGGAGAAAGAGAAAAAGAAATCCCAGTGGGCAGGCCAGCTGCTCTGGGCTCTGTGGGGGGCACCCCGAATGACTGCTGGGGTCAGAGTCCTTGTTGACAGTGTCCTGGAGAAGCTGTCCTTGGGGAGGGGCAGGTGGGGACAGCTGGATGGACATCCAGAGGCTCTGGCCAAAGAACTTTGACCTGCCTGATGAAAGCACACTTTGGTTGGGACTCTAGCTGGGCGCTTGGGGGCATTTGTTCCTTAATTCAGTCAGTATTTACTGAGCACTTAGCATGTCCAAGGCCCTGTGCTGTGCACTGGGCACAGTGAGCAGATGTGCAAGGTCCCTCTGTCACGGAGCCGACGTTGCCGTGGGGAGGGGTGGGTGACAGACAGTGAACAAATAAACACCCTGTGGCGGGTGGTGAGACCTTCACAAAGAAGTAACGCAGGCCAAGGGCAGAGTGGGCGATGGGTATAGCGGTTGAGACTGTTTTTGATAGAATGGCCAGGGGAGTTGTCCTTGATATAGTGACTGGAAGGAGGTGAGGGAAGGAGTTGTGTGGCTCTGTGCCAGGGCCTTCCCGGAAGAGGGGAGGGTAAGTGTATGGGTCCTGAAGCAGGCTCTTGCCTGGCGTGAGCAGGGAGGGGAGCAGGAGGTGGCTCAGAAGGGGCCCATGCCCACTGTTGGATGACCATGCGTTCCCACGCGTTTGTGGACTCCCCTGTGCTGGGAGGAGCCTGGCGTCATGATGGGTTTCCACAGCGTGTTCTTACATGCGTTAATGCAGCAGGACGCTCTGCCACCCATTGAGGTTTTGTGGGTCAAGGAATTGAAGGCTCTTAGAAGTCCTGCAGTAGAGCAACCTGGTGAGATTTGTTCCCCAACTGGCTTGATCACAAAGCCCTTCTCCTCACAGATCGCCCTCTGGGAAATGCTGACCTGGTTTATGGCTTTATAGTGGCATAAAGTCAGACTCTCTTCATTGTCAGACTCTCTTCTTTTCTCCTGGACTCTGTTCCCTTTCCTTCCATGGACTTCATTAAGATCGAGTCAGAGCCCCAGGCCTGACGGTTATTGAGTGCTCACCCGGAGCCATGCCCTGCCTGTCCTCTATGCTTCATACGAATTAACTCATTGAACACTTGTAGACCATCCTCCCAGCCAGGTAGGTATCCTCCTGATTTAAGAGGAAGGAGATAGAGGCAAAGAGGGGTGAAGAAATGTGCCCATGCACACACCTCCAATGAGTACAGATCTAGGGTTTGAACCCAGGCGTCTGGCTTTATGGGCCTTAGTCTTAACCATCATGCAGTGAGTTCAGGAACCTCATACCATTTATTTAGTAGAATTTGCATCAGAGGCCACATCCAGTGCACAGAGCTCCCAGTCTCTGGAAACCAGGCAGTGGACTGTTGTCATTGGGCACAGTTGGTACAGCTGAGAACTTGGATCCCATCTAGCCCGAGTTCCTTACTCTCCAGGTGAACATGAGGCCCTGCGAGGGGCAAGGACGTGCTTAGTAGGGTCGGTGGCAATTCCAGGTCTTCCTGCTCTCCCTACCCTATTGAATAACAGGAGACCCTTACTTGGTTTTGATCAGAGACCTGTGACTTTCTACTCTTACTGGCGCCCTCTGTCGGCCAAGTATACATTTTTTGGGCTCTTTCTGCAAGGCCACCTTCAGCACTGTGCATTGGGTTGGCCAAACCCACATGGTTTGTGGACCCCAGGGATCTGGAGATTCATTTTCCAATTCCCACTGGTGCTGCATTCCCAGTTCAGGAGGAGAGCAAGGGCAGAAACGTCCAGGCCCTTGATTAGATCTTGTTGTTACTTAAAAGCAGAGTGACCTTGGACAGGGTCACTCAAGCCATCTGTAAAGTGGAGCCAATCACAGCTGCCTCACTGGGCCATGTTGAAGACAAAGCAAGACGGGGTGGGGAACTCTAGCACAGTGCCTGGTGCCTGCGGCCACCCAGTCATGCTTTGTCATTTCTGTGTCTAGCAAGCAGCTGGTGGAAGCACTTAGTCTTATGTCTCTGAGCCTGTGCTCACGAGAGGTCCTTCAGGTGGAGCAGGTCTTCATCGGCAGTCCCAGTTCCTGGCAGTGACAAGGGCTGCCTGACCTTTTTTTGCACACTGACTGCATGCCAGACACTGAGTCCGTTGCTTTGCTTGCCTGACCATGCGTAACTCTCACAACTGCCCTGTGAAGCAGACACTTCCTTTGCAGGTAAGGAAGTAAGTTAAGTGGCCCGGCTGGTGTGGCTCAGTTGGTTGAGCATTGTCCCATGCACTGAGAAGTCGTTGGTTCAATTCCTGGTCAGGGTATATACCCAGGTTTCGGGCTCGATTCCCAGTAGGGGAAGTGCAGCAGGCAGTCTATAGATGTTTCTCTCGCATCAATGTTTCTCTTTCCATCTTCCTTCTCTCTCTCTAAAATCAGTAGAAACATTTTCTTTTTTAAAGTTAAATGACTTTCTAGGATGACACAGCCAGTAAGTCAGAGCCAAGATTTGACAACCATACTCCTGGCTTCTAACCCAGAACAAGCTGACGCGAGGCCTGGAGAGGACACATGGGGAGGACACAAGGTCATCAGCCAGTCATGAAGTCTGTCCCGGGCTTCCCAGTGCCTGGACCAGGGCTTCCTTCCGCTGCCTGGATGGCCTCATTGGAAGACTCGGTGTCTCCTGAGTGGGTCCTTAGTGCTGAGGGACAGGAGGGGTTCCCCTCCTGCAGGGCGAGGCCTGCCCTGGGGGTCAGTCTCTGTGATGCGAGGCTTACTCTCCATTCCCTTCCCTGCTGGTTCCTTTCATTGCTGACAGAGTGGACAGTCAGCAACTTGGCTTTTCCCCTTCTTCAGTGTCTTCCAGCTGGGCAGCTGGCTGAGCTGCCAGTGCCTGGCAGTCAGCTCAGGGTCGGGGCTTTGAAATGGGATCCCCCAGTGCCTGTGGTCCAGTGTGACCTTCCAGGCCACAGCAGGTGAGGGACAGGGCCTGAAATACAGTTCTCATCTTTGATCAGTGCTGGCTTACAGGGTGGTGGGGAGCCTGGGGTTGAGAGAGGTGGCCTCTCAGGGCGGGGCGCTCTGCATTGAGGCTTGGGACAGAGTGGGCAGTTGGCAGGCACTCCTGGTAACTGATAACATCAAATTCGGCTCCTATCACGGTTTACAAGGCCAGGGCCCTGCAGAGCCTTTGTGGGAATTAGAAAAAGCCCTCCTGCGTGAAGGAGAGAGTAAGAGGCACCTTTGTGGGCAGATGCAATTCTACCCTGGGGCACAGCGGGTGCCCTGGTGCAGTGCTCACCTGGCCAGCTCCCCAGGGCGGCCCCAGGCACCACCCGCCTCCCTCTCTAGCCTCCCTGGTGCCCGTTGTCCACTGCTGCTGTGCCCCACCCCACTCATTCTCCACACAGCAGCCAGATGGGTCTTGGTAAAATGCAAGTGGAACCTGTTAGCCCTCTGTTCAGAACGCTCTGATGGAGTCTTTGATGGCTTCCCACTGCCACTTCCAGCCTTCATGGTCCTGCAGTCTGGCGCTAGCTGACCTTGCTGTCTCCTCCTCTTTCCTCTCTTGATCACTCTGTTGTCCTCTTGCCATTCCTTGACTGTGCTGAGCCCTCTCCTGCCTCAGGGCCTTAGCACTTGCTGTTCTTAGAACTGGGCCTCTCCCTCTCCCCTTGTTGATGCTTACTCCTTTGAGTCCCTTTCTCCAGGAGGCCCCCTTCTCCAGGAGGCCTTCCCTGGTTGACGACGCCAGTCATCCACTTTTCTAGAATGATGCACCTCCTCTTGCAACATGTGCCTCATTGAAGTTTTATATTTATTTCTGCGATTTGATTGCTGTCTCTCTTCCTTGCTCAACTTGAAGGTTCATGAGGGCAAGGACCCTGTCTGTTTTTCCTCACTGTATCCCTGACACTAAACATCGTGTCTGGCATGGTGAATAGCTAGAGAATGAACAGGTAAAACCTGTACCGAACAGCTGGCACGTGCCAGGTACTGGAGAGCTGTCTGTTCCTCTTTCATTTTTAAAAATTCAGTTACTCATCAAATATGTGTTCACTCCCTCGGGGTGTCAAGCCTATGCTGGAAATGACATAGCCCATGCCCTCAAGAGGGTACAGACTGGTGGGAGAGAGACCCTCAACATAAATGCAGCAACCAAGGTAAAAAGGGCTATAGCTGAGGCTTTAACATGGTCCCAGGAAGGCCAGTGCAGAGAAGAGGGTATATGCATTGGGTTTTGAAGGATGAGCAGGAGTTTTCCAGGCCAAGAAGATAGAATGGCACAGAGACAAGGACAAATTATACCATATCCAAAGGCAGGTGGCTGGGAGGGTGAGAGGGTGTGTAGGAGCAGGGCTGTGAGCCTAGGGAAGAGAAGTGGGAGTTGAGGGTACTGTCTGCAGGTCCCCAGGAAGCTGGGCAGCAGCAGACCCTGGGAAGAGAAGGGAGGTATGGGGAGTTGGGTTCCTGTGAGGGGATGGCCTTGAGAATACTGGGGGTATATGGGGGTTGGGAGAGCTATGGGGTGGAGTGTCTGCACCCCCAGTAGATGCCTCCTCTTTGATCTTGTCTACACTGGCATCACCTCAGATTTCCCCTGTAGGAAGGTTTGTGTGGCCAAAGCAGTTTGGAAACCCCCAGGAAACAGAGCCTGGTGGTCAGGTGCATGGGCTCCGGAACGAGACCACCGGCTACGAACTGGCTCCTCCTGACCACTGTGTGACTGAGGGCCGCACTCCCCTCAAAGCCGGTTTCCTCAGCTCCTGAGGCTCATGTGAGGACTGAATGAGCAATTGCTGATGCCGCCGGCCCTGTTCTAAGCACTTCTGCCAGCATTACACTATCCTCCTCCACCACCTCATGAGCTACTTACCGAATTCTCAGGCACATTTTACAGCAGAGGAACTGAGGTTACATAATTTGCCCAGGGCCAGGCAGTCTGCTGGTAGAGTCCATACTCTCACTGCTGGACTGCTCTCTCTGTGGTTTTGGGCAAGTTACCTAGCCTTTCTGAGCCTCGTTCTCCTCATCTGTAAAATGGGAATGATAGCAATGCCTCCTCCACGGTGGGGGTCACTGAGGATTACTAGCAACCCGCATACAAAGCGCTTGAACCCAGTGCCTGGCTCCGGTAAGGACAGTATACGAGTTAGCTAGTATATTACTGTGACAGGTGAAGCTGCGTTTGCGTGGCCCGGTTAGCACAGGGCCAGAGGTATGCGTGGTAAGCCACCTGGAAGGTGAGTGACATTACTGTTATCGCACACTTGAGATTCTGTGGTCCCTTAGGGTTCTGGACATGATGGCTCTGTTTCCCTCTCCCTGCCTCACCCCGACTGCAGGCCAATGAGAACAGCCTGCTGAGTGCGCAGCTCAAAGGCTTCCCCCTGTTCCTGCACTCAAACCTGGGCCTGAAGGACTGCAGCATCAACCCCAGGTCCCCGCTGCTCTACGTGACGCGGCCCAGCGAGGTGGAGAAGGGTATGCTGCCCGGCGAGGACTGGACCGTGTTCCAGTCCAACCACTCCACCTATGAGCCAGTGCTGCTGGCCAAGACGCGCTCCTCCGAGTCCATGCCGCACCTGGGCGCAGATGCCGGCCTGCACGCCGCGCTGCACACCACCGTGGTCCAGGACCTGGGCCTCCATGACGGCATCCAGCGCGTGCTCTTCGGCAACAACCTCAACTTCTGGCTGCACAAGCTCGTCTTCGTGGACGCCGTGGCCTTCCTCACCGGCAAGCACCTCTCGCTGCCTTTGGACCGCTACATCCTGGTGGACATCGACGACATCTTTGTGGGCAAGGAGGGCACACGCATGAAGGTGGAGGACGTGAAGGTAGGGCCTGGGTACCAGCCCGGGGAGGGGGGCCGGCCGACCTGCACACCTTCCTGTACTCAGTCAGGACTTGGCTGTCTGCATCTCCTCTGCACTGTTAGGCCCTCCCTTGGCCAGCTGGCTTTATTAGTTGCCTTATTTGAAGCCAGTGTCATTTAAAACTATGTCGAAGTATTGACTATAGAAGAATTTGCATCTGGAGGAAGAGACCCAGCCACGGAGACACAGATGGGAGCTGGGCAGGGTCGTTCACCCGCCTTGTAATCCAAACATGATTTTTAACTCTCAGAAATGTTTATATGTCAGTCCCAGAGTTCCTACAAACTCCTTAAACAAGAGCTAGAGCTGGAGTTATACACAAGGCATATTTCAACTGAGGTCTGTGTAGACAGTGGAATTCATGTGTTTAATTCAAAGTGTGTTTACCATACTAAACTCTCTGTACAAGCAGTTTGCAAACCAGGAAGTTTTACAAACGGCTCACTACTAAAGAGAAGCCAGCACATTAAGACCATCACACAGTCTTAGACTTTTCATCTACTCGCTATTTTACTCAAAGTTATTTACGAAGGAAAGGCCCTCACTAGTGAGAAATGGGGAATCAGTGTCGGTTGCCATGAATAGAGGGCAACCATAACAATAGCTCCAGTGAAAACAAAGCCAGGATTAAATTCTGCTGAGACACTGCTGCCTCTGGCCGCCTGTCCTCTTCTACTGATTAGCAAGTGTCAGAGACATATTAGCGCCAAACCGAGACTCCTTTTGATGTTGGGAGGAGGATTGGAAAAGAGACTTCCAAGAGGAATGCTTTTCACCTGCTGTCTCCATCCTCTGATATCACTGTTGGGATTGGCCCTGGGCCTGGAAGGAAGGCTGGGGTGGGGGGTCACGCTCCTGCCTTGGTCAAGAGTAAATTCTCTACTCTTCCTCTTGCCTCCCTAGGAGGGCAGAGCAGATGGTGTAGGGAGTAGGCACTGTCTTGGGAATCAAGATTTGGCTCCAGGTTCCAATTTGACCCTCACTGGGTGACTTGGGCAGGTCCCTTCCCATCTCAGCCTCAGCTACAAAGTGACAAGATGGGTGGACAGGAGGGTTTCAGGCTATTTTCTGCATCCTAGGCTTTCACAGAGGTGCTGGGGTGAGGCGTGAGCGGGGTGCAGACAGCCAGGCTCTGAGCCGTCCCGGCTCCCACCTCCTGGGACAGGGCAGCATTGCTTTGGTCTGCTTTATGAATCGTGTTTCCTCCTGAGATTTCTTAGGACGGTCTTCTGATGGCCCAACCTTGTTCTCTCCCGTGTAACTTGGGCCTTCGCTGCCTGTCCGGGGTTAACCTCATGTGGCAACCAGGCTCCATGCTCACTGTATCCCCATGAACCTGGGGTTGCCCCCTGCCTTGTGCTTATTTTCCCTGTTTTAGAGTGGGAGGAATGCTAGCAGTCTGGAGCCATTTCTGTAAAAAATACAAACAGAAGCGCCCTCTGCCGTTCGCTTAGCTCAGTGCAGACTGCACCACACTCACCAGCCAGGGTCCCGTTTGCCTTAAATGTCCTTGTGAGTCAAAAAGGACAGAGTGGGGTTTTTTCTTTAATCCCAAGCACGGGCTGCACCGAGCCTTTCAGAGACTGGGGCAGTGCTGGCTGTCAGTGCAATTCAAATAACGCCAACAACAGCTGCTTATGCAGGGCTTGGCGAGGGCCAGGCTTGGGCTCAGGCCTATGTGTTGCCTCATCGGACCCTCACAGCAGCCTTGTGTGGTGGGCCTTGTCGTAAGTCCCATTTTACAGAGCAGGGCACTGAGGCTCAGAGAAATGAAGTACCTCACCCAAGGCCACCCGGCTGGAATGTGCGTGTCCACCAGGCAGTGTGTGGCCATAGTAAGATGCCGGTGGCGGCCCAGGGGGCCAGGACATGGAGTCTGCGGTGTTTGGATAGCAGGCTCTTGGATAGCCTTGTGTGTCGTGCAAGGATGTTTTTTTCGAGTCCTGATCCCAGAGTACAACTGTAGGTTTGTTTCAGAAGTGTCAACAACCCTTCATTGACTTGCAAAGCACTGGGCGTGCCATGCCTGGGAACATTGCTTTGCTGGGTGCCCAGTACATCGCTGGAAAGGTCATGGTCCTTTGACATTGGCCTTGCATTCCCCTGTGAGGAGAAGTCCTCCACATTTGACATGTGAAGATCTGGGGCTTACAGTGGCAGTGACATAGACAGACATACGACATCACCAGTTACCAAATGTCAGACAGTTCAACATGCAAAATCTTATTTAATTCTCCCAAGGGCCCCATAGGGAGGTGCTGTTGCCCCCATTACCCGGGGGAACTGAGGCCGGGAGAAGTTATGAAGCCTCAAGGACACAGCAGAGCCAGCCTGGGGTCTGGGACCCCCGTTGCCAGAAGCCTGGTGTGGGTGGCCACTCGGGACTGGCTTCGGGGGCATGGGGCCCGTGCAGCCACTCAGGGCCCCGTGCTCCGAAGGGCTCGTACAGGTGTAATGCTCTGCTCTGCCTTTCTGTCATTCTTAATTTTGAGTAAGAGTCCCACGCTTTCATTTCCCCCAGGCCCCACGGACATTTTAGCCGGTCCTGGGACAGCAGGACACTTCCAGGCCTCCGTGGGAGGAATGGGAGCTGCTGGCTCTCCCCTCACCCCTTTCTTTCTCCTCTGCCCGTCTTAGGCTCTGTTTGATACACAGAATGAACTGCGCACACACATCCCAAACTTCACCTTCAACCTGGGCTACTCAGGGAAATTCTTCCATACAGGTAAGTGGCCCGGCTGTGCCCCGCTAGCAACCTCCAGGGGCCGTTACGTCCAGCCCTCAGAGCACTGTGCCACGGGCAGCATGTGGTCTGATGGGCCATATTAGGGGCACATTCGATCCCTGTACCCCCCCTTCCCACCCCCCAGCCAACAGCTCACAGAACAGTCACAGCCACAGGCAGAGGCCATTGGGGACATGTCTTGGCTCCCCCTGAGCCTCCCTGGCTGCAGGCTGTGCTGTTCTGGGGAAGTTCTCCCTCTTGTCACCCCCTCTACCCCACCTTTTAAAATGACTACTATTTCTGCTTAAAGTGTCCTTGGATTTTAAGAAATTACAGACATAGTCAGTGTCTGCTCCTGTGCTGTAGCTCAGGCAACGGTGCCAAGCTCCTGAGGGGCGTGGCATTGCCTCCTCCCAGCCTGTCCACCTGCCCAGGTTGGAGGACCTCAGGGCAGGTGGCCGGGCTGAGCTGCCTGTGCTCGGGCTGCAGGTACCGATGCTGAGGATGCTGGGGACGACCTGCTGCTGTCCTACGTGAAGGAGTTCTGGTGGTTCCCCCACATGTGGAGCCACATGCAGCCCCACCTCTTCCACAACCAGTCTGTGCTGGCTGAGCAGATGGCCCTGAACAAGAAGTTCGCTGTCGTGAGTAAGATTCCCTCCGGGGCAGAGCCGGGCGGGCTAGGGGCTGGGCTGGGGGCCTCTGGTGGGCCTCTGGCTGCTTTCACAGTTGGCTCTGACAGCTCCTCATTTAACATCTTTGTAGCCCCTGTCGCATGGAAGCCTCACAGAGACCCCAAGAGGCGGGCATTGGTAGCTTCCTGTTAGACAAGAAACTGAAGTGCAGGGCGGCCACACCAGCTAGTGAGACTTCACCCCAGGCCCGTTTGTTTCCGGAGTCCAGGCTCTTCCCTTCAGGCTAGGATGGGGGGCTCCCTCAGCCAGGAGGGCACGAGGCCGAGGCCGGTATTAGTTCTGCCTGGGCCACAACCAGTTCCAGGTCCAGGTTGGCAGAAAAAGCCCCATTTTGTTCCTCGCTCTTGGGTGCTGGAGGGCACGCCACTGGGCCGAGAGTTAGAGTCCCAGCTCAGCCAGTCCCTTGTGTGGAGGCTCTGAGCACATCCCCTTCCCTCCTGGGCCTCCTTTCCCCTTCTGTACCACGAGGGCTTAGGCCCACAGCCCTGCTGCTCTAGCTGCTGATTTCTCTGTCCCATTCTGCAAAGGGAAATAAGGCCCAGAGGGGATGGGGCCCCCGCTCACCCTGCCCTGGCCCTCCTCTCCCCAGGAGCACGGCATTCCCACAGACATGGGGTACGCAGTGGCGCCCCACCACTCGGGCGTGTACCCTGTGCACGTGCAGCTGTACGAGGCCTGGAAGCAGGTGTGGAACATCCGAGTGACCAGCACGGAGGAGTACCCCCACCTGAAGCCGGCCCGCTACCGCCGTGGCTTCGTCCACAACGGCATCATGGTGAGTGGGCCCTGCAGCCAGCAGGCGGTGTGCACACACTCCCTTGAAGCACGGCTTTGGTGAGCTGTTAGTATCTGACATATTTTAAAAGGGTTTCCATCAATTTAGCTGCTGTGTGGAGCAGAGACTGCTGGGGACAAAGTGGGAGGCTGCGGATCAGTTAGGTGCAGGCTTCCAGACAAGAGATGGTGGTGGCTTGGACAGGAGGCCATGTTGGGACGGTTCTGGACTTATTTAGGAGTTAGAGCCAGCAGGGTCTGCTGATGAGTTGGATGTCGGGTGTGGGAGAAAGATGAGTCCAGGATGACTCCAGAGTTTTTGGCCTGAACTGCTGAAAGGATGAGTTGTCAGCCCAGATGGGGCAGCTGTGGGGAGGCCAAGTTCGTCCATCCGTTAGCCATCCATCCATCCATCCATCCACCCTCCACCAACCCACCAACCCCCTCAGTACCAGGCCCTTGAATTAACTGCAGGATGAGGTGGTAACAAGACAGATGAGTTCTCTGATTTCTTGGATCCCACAGTTTCATGGGAGGAGACAGATAATAAACATCCTGGCTGCTCTTAGGAGGGGTCCTCCCTCCTCCATCCATGCCTGGAGGTGCCAGAGCTCCTCTCTGTCCCCATCCCCAGGTCCTCCCGCGGCAGACCTGCGGCCTCTTCACACACACCATCTTCTACAGCGAGTACCCTGGTGGCTCCAGCGAGCTGGACAAGATCATCAATGGGGGCGAGCTCTTCCTCACCGTGCTCCTCAATCCCGTGAGTGCTCCTCCGCCTTGGCTGGCGGGGAGGTGGGCTGCGGTGCCTGTCTGCCTGAGGCAGGCCTCCTCGGGCCTGGGAGCAGAGGGTAGAGCGGGTGTGAGGGCGGGAATTGGGAAACCCACTCTCCAGCCTCAGCTCTGTCCCTGCTCGCAGCATGGCCTGTGCAGTGAATCCGAGCTTTTTTTCCTTTTATAATCTCGCACTTCAGTAGAGTAGTGTTAGCATTCTAAACCACGTTCTCTCTCCAGTCTTGGTGTGAGTGTATAAATATATAAGTATATGTTAATGTACATAGTAAACAATATGTAAACTATGTATAATACATACAGTGTAAACTATTTACCTGGACTTTCTGGGCCTGTCTTTCCTTATCTGTAAAGTGGAAATAATAATTTGTGCTTTAATATAGATATCAAGATGTTAAATAGATATCAAGTGGTGGTACTATTTAGCGTTATGGGATAACTAAGTATTACCTTATCTTCCATGTACCACCACCCCGCCAAAAACATGAAACAGAACACCCAGAAAGGCCAGCTTCCATCTCAGGGCTGCAGTAGTTGGTCAGTCAGATCTGCATTCACCTGGCAGTGCCCAGCCCCAGGTTACACAGCGAGACTGTGGATGGCCCCGATGAACCTTGGGCTGGTTATCGAGTGGCCCTTCAAGCTGAAGCAAGACCCAAAGGTCAGAAGTGGGTGATGGTGGCTCAGAGGCTGACCAGCCCCTGCCTCTCCTCCTGCTCCCCCCTCCTGGAGCAGATTAGCATCTTCATGACGCACCTGTCCAACTACGGGAATGACCGCCTGGGCCTGTACACCTTTAAGCACCTGGTGCGCTTCCTGCACTCTTGGACCAACCTCCGGCTGCAGACGCTGCCCCCTGTGCAGCTGGCCCAGAAGTACTTCCAGATCTTCTCTGAAGAGAAGGACCCGCTCTGGCAGGTGGGTGGGAGGGGGGCGCTTGGAGGCCTTGTCTCAGGGAGGGAATGCCCACTGCTCACAGGCTCAAGCTTCAGACGTGGGCAGGGCTCAACCTCACACCCTCAGACTCTTGAGTGTAAATGCAGGTGCACATTTGCTCTCAGCATGGGCTGACTCACTTGTTCTCATGCACATACGTGTCCACCTCCCACACAGACCTACAGGCATGCACACTCACACACAGCTTCTGACAAAACAGCAGCACAACCGTAAGTGAATATGATACAGAGGAAGTATAGAAAGCATCTGCCAGCCCAGCTAGACTCTTAGTCCTCCCTGCCCTCCTCACTGCAGCAGGCCCTGAGCCATGGGAAAGGGGCCTGATGGGAGGGTGGAGGGAGACCATTCTCGGGGAAGCCTGCCCCTGGGGACTGTCAAAACTAGAAACAGAAGCTGGACTCGATGACATACTCACAGTTCAGAGCAGAGGTCCACAGACTTTGGCCCTGGTCTATTTTTATCGTCTTCCTGGGACCCAGCCGCGCCCAGCCCTGTATGTGCTGCCTGCGACTGCTTTCACGCTGCACAGTGGAGCTCACTAGCTGCCACAGAGACGGGATAGGCTCCGAGCCTAAAATATTTGCTAACATTTCAGAAGATTTACTAAACTTCATAGTAAAAGTTCTTGACCCCTGGTTAAGACACAGCTCAGGCAGCTAAATTCAACAACCCCTTGTGAATTCCCTTTGCATGACAAACCCTGGGCTGAGCATTTTGCTAGGACTGATCAGAAATGGCCCCTGCCTGCCAGCTGCCCAGTGTCCCGTGGTGGGCATGTGACAAGGACTCACATTGTAAAGCCCGTCATTGGGGGTGTAAGAGCCACAATCCGCGTGCCATGGGGCCCATTCATTGGGTTCTTGGCCCCCCTGACATCCCTTCCCCTGTTGTTTTAGGACCCCTGCGAGGACAAACGCCACAAAGACATCTGGTCCAAGGAGAAGACATGTGACCGCTTCCCCAAACTCCTCATCATTGGCCCCCAGAAAACAGGCAGGTCTCTTCTCTCTTGACTAGCCTCCCCCATCGCCTACTGTCTCAGCATGGAACCCTGGAGACTACCTTGCCCTGGTCCCATTCCCCCATAACCTGCCCCCTCTTTCCCAGGAAGTAGGAGTGAAGTTGGGGTGAATAGGAATTGCCTGTCAATGTGGCAGTGGGAGCAGGGTGGAGGGTGGGGAGGGCATGGAATTCTTCAATCTGTCCAGAGCCCCCGCAGCCTCAGGGAGCTCTCCCTGTGTCCTGGGAGTCTCCGGTCTAGGCAGAGAAGCCCAGATCAGCTGCTCAGCAGGTTCGAGCAATGCCAGGCAAAACCGGTTCAGTGCAGAGAGGACTGCGATCAGTTAGTCATGTGATCAGTTGGCCGTGTCTGCCAGAGGTGCAGGAGGAAGTGGTGACACGATGGCTAAGTATCTGCCATCCACACTCTCTAAGACACAAACATGTACCCTCATCTTATAGCAAAAAACTCGGGACTCAGAGAAGTCAAGTGACTTCCTCTAACACAGTCAGCTAGGAAATGGCAGATCTAGGCCTTGAACCCTGGCCTCTGTGACCCGGCCTAGAACGTACTTTTTTGTTTTGTTTTGTTAATCTTCATTGGAGGATATTTTTTCCATTGATTTTAGAGTAGATGGGAGGAGAAGAGGGTGAGAGAGGAGAGAGAGAGAGAGACAGACAGACACATCAATGTGAAAGAGCCACATCAATTGGTTGCTTCCTGCATGAGCCCCAATCGGGGCATCCCAGGTACGTGCCCTTGACTGGAATTGAACCAGGGACCCTTTGGTTCTCGGGCCAACACTGTAACCACCGAGAAACACTGGCCAGGGCCAGAACATACACTTTTTAAAAAATATATATTTGATATTTTACAGAGAGGAAGGGAGAGGGATAGAGAGTTAGAACCGTCGATGAGAGACAAACATCTGCCTCCTGCACACCTCCTACTGGGGATGTGCCCGCAACCAAGGTACATGCCCTTGGCCGGAATTGAACCTGGGACCTTTCAGTCCGCAGGCCGACGCTCTATCCACTGAGCCAAACTGGTCAGGGCCGGAACATACACTCTTAATCACCAGAGTCTAAAGTCTCCTTCTCTGCTGGGGCCTCTCATTGCAGCGTGTGACCATATGCTCACACACAGGAGTGAGCTCTGAAGGAGGAGGCTAGGTCCTGTGTTGTCAAATAGGGAGGGGCATGAGAGAGGGCACCCAGGAGAAGACGCCTGGAGCCAGATGTCGTAGCCCTTCAAGAATTTCACATGAACACCCTGGAGGGTCTGGAGCGCCCTTTTCTCTGAGCTCCCAAGTGCCAGGGAGAACAGAGGCCCAGGGCCGGAAGGGCCCAGCATAGTCCTAGACCTAGTTCTGGGATTAGGAGGAGCCTGTCCTGAGTTGGGTGTGGCTGCTGGGGTACATGGTGAGAAAGATTCTGAGTTCCAGTCCTCATTTAGGGATGAGAATGCTGTGGCGGTGTGTGATGTCTGCAGTGGGTGCAGAGGTTGGGGTGCTCACAGGCATGCCATGTATTTGCCATCCCAGGTTTAGTGTAATCCTTCACTGTATAGATGTGGAGACTAAGCTCCAGAGAAGGGAATGGACTTCCCCAGGATCTCACAGTGCCCAGTGGAGAGCTAGAACCAGACCCCAGGATTGGTAGAGGGCCTGGTCTCAGCCCCTTCCCGTCCCGCAGGCACCACCGCCCTCTACCTGTTCCTGGGCATGCACCCCGACCTCAGCAGCAACTACCCCAGCTCAGAGACCTTCGAGGAGATCCAGTTTTTTAACGGCCAAAACTATCACAAAGGCATCGACTGGTAAGTGGGCCCTTCTGTCCACAGAGGGACAGGAAGGCCGCCGTAGAGCCTGCCCGGGAGGAGGTCCACGTAGCCACGGCAGGAAGCAGCTGTGCTTGCTCACACGCAGCTAAAGTTCCTGTAAACAGGGACAGAGCGGGGTGACCCTGGAGCTACGGTGTTGGAACCTTGTCACGGACAGGACGCTCGATGACCCTCTGCTTACTGCTCAGGGTCAGAGTCCAGCCCCTCCCTGGCTCGCCCAGAAGCATCCTGAGTCCCAGAGGAGGACAGGGGCTCAGCCAAGGTCCCGAGAGCTGGGGACAGAGCAAGGGGCTAACATCCAAGTGTTCTGGCCCGTCCCACTGTGGCTGACCTTGGAACCAAAGTGTCTGTGGGTCCTTCAGAGGCGGCTCGCTAGCCTCCAGGGAGTCGCCTGGGGAGTGGCTGACATCGCAGCTTCCACCAGAAGCCGTCACCCGAGGTTACTATGGTGTAGGCACCGCGCGGGGATGGTGTTATGTTCCTTTTTCAATTTACATCTTTCTCTACTGTTTGTCTTTTCTTACCTTACACATGTGTTACTCTCCTGTATTATTGTTATGTCAGTAGTTTACCTGGGTGGAGAGATCATGACAATTTTTGTTTTGTTTTCGCTATTGGTCTATGTCTCTTGTTTTCCATCTCTCTATTTACCTACTTACCTACCTGTCTCTCTGTCTATATCTCTAAAATGGCTGCAACTGTTAAAACCTATTGTGGTCCTGGCTGGTGTGGCTCAGTTGATTAAGTGTCGTCCCACCCATGCACCCAAACATCACTGGTTTGATTCCCGGTCAGGGCACATGCCCCAGGGTGTATGCGGAGACAGCCTATCAGTACTTCTTTCACTCTGTCTGTCTCTCTTCCTCTCCCTTCCTCTCTCTAAAAAAATAAAAAAGTAAAAATCAATACAAACATATTTTTTTAAAAGTGAAAAAACAAATTAAACCTATTGTGGTGAGATGTATTCTTGGAAGCCAGCGTTTTTCAGATTGCAGGGAGGGCTGTGCCATAACACCATCTATTTAGCAGCACCGTCAGCAGGGTCTGGGGCAGCACTCCATTAGCAAACACATCAATACGTCTGTGGCAAAGTATGTGAATATTTATACCAAGTAAGATTAATGTCAGCTTTTTGCTGCCAAATGGCTTCGCTACAAAGCTTCTGTTTTCAGAGCTTTCTTGATCTAAGTATTACAATGAATTGTGGACAGAAAGATGCATTTTATGAAGAAAATTCAGGAAGAGAGGAAGAAAGAAAGAAAAAAGAGAGAGAGAGAGAAGAGGAGAGAAGAGAGAAGAGAAAAGAGCAGAGCAGTTCCTCAGCCCATGCCCAAGGTTTTGATTTCGTAGATGTGAAGGGTGGGTGCAGGAGCCCACCTGCCTCATGTGGCTCTGATGAGGGACATCCCTGGGACCCCCCTGGAGGGCCCCTGTCTCACAGCTTAGGGTAGGGATCCCACACTGTAACTAGGGTGGACCTCGTGCACTTGGGTTCCCACGAACCCCTGAAAATGTCCCTCTATTTTGCTTGAGTAGGTGCCCCTGGGGGTTCTGGAATGTCCATCCAGTTTTTTAAGTGACCTTCAATTTAGAGATGGTCTCAAAGGACTAGTGTGGACGGTCACTCCGGGTGGGATATGGGAGGTTCATCTGGGAAACTGTCAGGCCGCTCAGAGTCCCAGCTCGCCCCCTGGTGGCCGTGGGAGTTAGGGCCCTGTCCGTTTTACTCTGGGAGCATCTGTTTAGGAAGGAGACATAACCCATAGTCTTCAGATTGTCCTCACCCCAAGGATTTCCAGAAAGGGAGACTGCCAAGTGGCATTCCTCTAGCATCGCTGCCAGAAGCAAGTCCTTGCTTGGCTGGGAGCCATGTGCCCTGCTTGCTTTCGGAAGTTCAACCCCCAGCGACCCTCGCCCTCTGTGCTGTATCCCTCAGCCCCCTCCTCAGGAGTTTTGACTGTGAGCCACCCTTTGGGTCCTGCAGGTACATGGAGTTCTTCCCCATCCCCTCCAACACCACCTCCGACTTCTACTTTGAGAAAAGCGCCAACTACTTTGATTCGGAAGTGGCTCCCCGGCGGGCAGCCGCCCTGTTGCCCAAAGCCAAGGTCCTGACCATCCTCATCAACCCAGCGGACCGGGCCTATTCCTGGTACCAGGTGAGCTGGGCCAGAGCAGAGCCCTGGTTGGGGGCGTGGGGCTTTCTGCTACTCATTCGTTCAATAAATACTAGCCCAGCTGGTGTGGCTCAGTGGTTGAGCATTGAGCCATAAACCAGGAAGTCGAGGTTCAATTCCCAGTCAGGGAACATGTCCAGGTTGTGGGCTTGACCCCCAGAAGGGGATGTGCAGGAGGCAGCCAATCAATGATTCTCTCTCATCATTGATGTTTCTGTCTCTCCCTCTTCGTTTCTCTGAAATCAGTAAAACAACAAGAACAGCAAAAACCAAATATTTACTAGTCACAGCCTAGCTCGGCTCCTGGGCTGTGGTGGTGGGTAAGATTGGAGTCCCACCTCCATGGTGCTTCTAGCCTGGTGGAGGAAGCCGGCAGAAATCCTTGGTGAATCCCAGCCAACAGTTACCTGCCCACCCTCCTAGCTTTGTCTGGGGTCCTGCCTCTCATTCTGATGCCAAAAAGAGGTGGAGCTGGGTCTGCTTTGATTTGGTGAATAGTGATCTGGGCTGATCCTCCCTGTGGCCCCTCACTGGGTACTGGGAGGGGCAGGGGCGGGAATTCAGAGGAGGACAGGATAATAGGATCTGTCATTCTCAGTGGAGGATGCAACGCCTGATCAGGTTAGGAAGTCACCTGAACTGTATCCATGTCAGAGTATGACTCCTAGTCCGTCCTGGAGAACTAGGACTTCGTTTGATTTCGACAACGTGACTTAACAGGCCTTTTTGGTGGTGTCCTTCCCTGCCAGCCATGTGATGTGCTGGGGTCTTGGGGGTACCTGGTCTACCAGCCAATCCAGAAAGGGCTCCTCAGGCCACTGTAGGCAGCTCCCTGTCCCCTCTGAGCCTGTGCACCTGGGTGCTGGTGGCTGTCTCCTCTCTGGGGCCTCGCTGTGCCCACAGCACTGGCAGGGGGCCGGCTACAGACTCTCTTTGCTGTCTGTCCCACAGACTCCCCCGTTCCTCTGAGCCGGGGGCAACCCTCAGTGGGAGTATGGGGACAGGTGAGGGTCCCCCTGGTCGGCAGGTCCCTGATCTCTGGACCATGGGAATTCTGCGGATGCTGAGGACTCATGGCATTATTTCAGGTGGTTGAAACCTGGCATTTCCCCCTGTCCATTTCTTCCAGTCCTTCTGTCTTAGTCTCCTCAGGTGTCATAATGAGATATTCTAGACTGGGTGGCCTAGACAACAGGAATTTATTTCCCATAGTTTTGGAGGCTAGAAATGCAAGATCACGGTGGCACTAGTGCAGCCCCCGATGAGGGTGCTCTTCCTTGCTGTTAGACGACTGCCTTCTCCCTGTGTCCTCACGTGGCCAAGAGAGCGGCGTGCGTGCTGGCGTTTCTTCTTACAGGGACGCTAATCCCATCACCAGGGCCCCACCCTTGTGACCTCATCTCGGACTCGGCCTCATTACGGCCCCAAGGCCCCATCTTCAATGTTATCACATCGGGGTCAGGGCTTCCACGTACGGGGAGGGGACAGACATTCAGTCTGTAACACCTTCTGATTTATATAAAGGAGACGTTTTTAATTTGGCACAAGTGGCACATAATTCCTTTCTAACATTGTTAGGCTGTGTCTTCAACAGAGAGTGCGAGCTTTGGGGTCCGGGCCTGTAGCAGATGTTTATGTCTGACTGTGCATTATTTTTATTGTATTTATGAACTTTCCATGTGCAACAACTGTTCTAGTTTTCCATTTATGGAGGGGATAGTGGGTTTTCTTTAGAAATTACTGTGTGTGAATAAGAAAGATGAGTCAATGTAAAGAAGGGTATGCTGACATTGGCACATGCAGGTGGTTTGTGGGTATTGCAGAAATTACAGAGATGACATGCAAATTACCAGCGTTTGGAAACTGATCTCCTACAACTCATGTCTTGCAAAGATGAGGAAACTAGGGCTCTGAGGGGCCAGTGACTCCCTGAGGTCAGATGTGAAACAGACGGTAGACTTGAACCCAGGGCTCTGGTGGCCTCATGGCTGCTCGCCCACTCAAGCTTCTTCCTGCTTGCCCTCCAAGTGACCTGCCGACCCTCTCCCCTTGCCCGCAGCACCAGCGAGCCCACGATGACCCCGTGGCCCTGAAGTACACCTTCCACGAGGTGATCACGGCCGGGCCCGACGCGTCCTTGAAGTTGCGTGCCCTGCAGAACCGCTGCCTGGTCCCCGGCTGGTACGCCACCCACATTGAGCGCTGGCTCAGCGCCTTTCACGCCAATCAGGTAGCCACCTATCCCTCCCCCGGGAGGGCCAGCACAGTATGGGCGTGCTGTGGTTGGCAAAGAGCCTCCAAACCTCTCCCACCAGTCACGGGGCCGGAAATGCCATCCCTGTCGGGTTAAACCTCTGGGGTCCTCTAAGGTTTCAGTCTTGTTTATCCCAAGGTCGATGTGTGAGAATCCCCAAGTCCTTGTTCCATCACAACAGAGGCTGTATTCTTAAGGGGACCCAGAAAGCCCTGGAGTAGGTCCCTGGGAGGGGATTTGGGGGTGTGGTGATGGAGGGAGAACCTAGTTGGAGGGGTAGGCAGGGCCAGATCACGAGACACGTTTAGGAAAACTTGGAGGACTCAGGCAGGAGAGCAACATACGGGCCAAGAAGCCTGAGGAGAGGCCAGCGAGGGCAGTTGTGGGGATGGGAGGAAGGGATGACCTCGGTCAGGGAGGCGGACAGAGACCAGGGAGCGAGGCGCAGGGGGCAGGGGGGCAGGGACACCTGCCATTCAGAGGCGGGGGAGGCAACAGACTCTCCAGAGTGCGGGAACCCCAGTTTGTAACCATGGTTACTGACCCAGAAAACTGGGGACCCTTTGCCACGGGAGTGAACGCAGGTTCAATGATGCCTTTATCTTTTCTTTTTTTCCAGATTCTGGTCTTGGATGGCAAACTGCTGAGAACAGAACCTGCCAAAGTGATGGACACAGTGCAGAAGTTCCTCGGGGTGACCAGCACCATCGACTACCACAAAGCCTTGGCGTGAGTGGGGCCTTCGAACGGATTTCCTGAGCAGGCAGCTGGGCCAGACACCGAAGTGTAGAGTGATGACGGGAGAGACAGGTCAATTAGCAGCAGCCGGTGCGAGGACGGATGCATGTCCTTGACGGCAATTTAGGAGAAAAGCTACGAATAACATGACTTCGGTCATAGCTATAAATGTTCTCCTCTGTCGGCCCCACCCCTGGGGTGTTCTGTTCAGTCGTGCGGGGCATTTTCAGATGTCTCACCTGTTAGACCCACAGTGAGCAGCCGCAGTTCTCACAAGGTTTCTTAGCCTTAGGTTATGACTTAATATAATTTTAGGAAAAGCAAACTGCAGATGTTGTTGAGGGTTAATAATCCCAGTCCTTCAGAGCCCAGTGCAGACGTGCGGAGAGCGCCCTCTCCAGCGCGTGCTGCCGGGCTCAGGGCTGGCACAGGCTGCCTCCCGTGCTGGGTACAGACAGCGCCCTCAGCGGCCCAGGGGCGTCTTGAGAAGGAAGAATGAAGCACCTCCCGGCTGCCTTCCTAGGAACG